AGTGGTTCCGAATGAGCCTGTAAGCTTCCCAAGTGCTGGGGCATGGAAAGCGTTTGAACTCCCTCCAGTGAAAGTCCCTTTGCATTACCCATTTCCTAGTTCGACTGCGAATTGCTGATTTTCGAACAGTCGGTCGGCATAGACGCCTGACGGTTGTAACAGCAGCCACCAATGTCGTGATGATGTTAGTAAATTTTCTCCAGGATTCCAGAGGATTGCAGTCTACATCAGGGGAGATCCACTGGATTCCATGGGCCAGGGTGTTTGGTCCCACATAGTCGGTTATGATGCAAAAGCGATCCGAAGAAACTGTCATTACTGATGCATAGCAAACATTCGAACAATCACTGCGCCCCAACAGAGTTGCGATTGCAATTGATTCGACCATCAATTCTTCATTTGTCAGTACTAGATCCAAAGTTGACGAAATTTGGTTGGTTCCAAACCTGGTGGGTTCCACCACATGATTGTACAACGGATGTGACTGAATGAACTGCTTCAGATGACGTTCAAATGGCGTACACGATGTAGTCACATTGCTCAGCTTTGGACAGTTGAAGTCCCCCATTATCAGAACGTGGGTGAATTTCAATGACAAGAAGTAAGACATTGTTTCCAACAAAGTCTCATTTGATGAATCTGATGACGGAGAGCGATAAACCACGCCGAGCAGCCCGATATCCTGTTGCGTTAGCTTCAATTTACACCATGATATATACCATATTATATATATATATATACCATGATATGTTTTGCACGCAGTATGAAATGAAATAATAAAATAAATACTGTTGTTCAATAGTTGGTACTAAACGCGGAAGATGACTTGGGGAACAGTCAACAATCGTGATTTGGAAAACCGTCTGACAAAGTGATTGATTTCCCATTCTAATATTGAAAATAAACCAGCACAACCTAACAAAACATTCGAACAGCAAGATCCAACACGGTGGGGATAAATTGAAATAATTCCAGAAGATGCGGCAGGAGACAGTGTGCAACCAAACTGTCTGTTAAGTGCGGTACTACTGATTATTAGTTGGGACAAGTAGAATCATGCAAATATTTGTTTCTCACGGGAGTATTAGGGATTCACTTACCGAATGGTTTATGCTCCAGTTCGGCAAACAATGAATCCAAATAGGGAACTACTTTTCCAGCTGACTCCAATTCGGCTAGATTCACAGAAGCGGGTTGTCTTCGTGTGCCAGTGCGTGTATCCAATCCGGATTGAGTTTGCGAACGAGAAACGGTTTTAGGGTCTCTGTTTCCGGTCGCTGATTTGCGTGCACCCCGCAGATCAGCGATAGAAGATTGATCCGTGAGAGCTATCCAATGAGTATCAGATTGGGATAAGAAGAAAACTGATCTGAGAGGCGAGTAGACAGCTTGTCTGATTGCAGATCCCAAGGGGTTCGCGTTAATCATAACAAACAAAACAACAACAGCAGCAACACAGCGAAAGCAATGGTGAAGGAATTATTACTCCTCCGAACAAGTTAGCCACTAACAGAGTCGTCGACATCATGGTTACTTTCTGTAACAGACATCAGTAACATATTGTAACTCGCTTTCAGTGCTACCAAATCGAATCGTAAAGAAAACGCCCATGCAAATGGTTAAGAAATATCAAAGACTTAACTTCCAAGTTTCGCGGGGAATTGAACATTGGCGGATATTTTGTCGTACTCGGAGGTAATGATAGCACGTAGATTACTCTGAACACATTAAATTCAGTACAAACCTATTTTCGATTAGTGCACAGTACTTCTACAAGATAGGTCTTCGCAGTTCTCTATCGGTAAAATGAAAACTTGCATAAAAAAATCGACTACAAGCATAATTACCACAAGATACAGTCTCATATACTAATTTTATTCTATAAAGAACAATCACCAGAAAAAAACTCCAATTTAACATGGTGTATTGGCCTGTGTTTTCACGTGGAATGGCTTTTCTCAATCATGCTTTAGAGTCGAGTGTAGTACAAGTCCGAGGACCCGGAGCTTCGGACCTCAGGTAAGACGTGAGTTAGCACCTCAGTGATCAAAGAGTGGTGGGATTTCGAATACATGAAACGCCGATGCTTTCTTACAGCTGGGTTCATTTCGAGAACACCAAACTCTCTCCGAGTTAGCGTTAGATCCCCTCAGACGTTTCGGATCATAAAGCTTCGGTTAACATGTACGGCCGGTACATGACCCCGAAATAAATCACTAAAGACCGCCACAGGTGATCGAAATGATTGCACGCTTATACAATAAGAACCAGAAAACTTCAATTAAGATCGGAGCAAAACAAAACCAACCGTCGCAAATATCGAATAACCATGAAATAAGCTAAGCAATGGTTAGAGACACTGAGTTATATGGCTGGGTGTCGCAAACAGTGGCATTCGTGTATCCACTTATTATTCTCCCATCACTATTCTATATGAATTCTCCAGCTTCCGCTTGAATTTGCTTTCAACATTCCAATCTTCATTCTGCTCTTTTATCCAAATGGAGCACCAAAAGACAGCAAAGAAAACCGGCACACGAAAGTGCATGGTTAACGGTTGTAAAAACTGAACTGAACTGAAATGAAGCGAAGCGTGAAATTAAAACGACAGGTGCATGTGAAACATGGCGAGATCCGCCACGTTTACACTTACATCGTTCAATGTTCCCATATTCCACTTCGACACCTTGAACACGACTTGCCGGGGTAGAACTAGAAGAGGTGTTCTAAAGCAAATAAAAAGATCCACCACGGTGACCGAAACGCAAGTAACAGGAAATCAAATTATTCAAATCCAGAAAGAAACCTGACAAAAATGGGACCCTATGGCCGTGGAAACTGACTTCATCGAAAAGTAAGGTGAAGTGAATGCGGTCCAGAGTAGGATAGCATTAAGCAGTATGTAAGCGTCCGTTAAACATGCATTTTATCTGAGAGTAACTTTGAATGATAATCAATGGATGAGAAAAGGAGATGACATGTGAAATATACAGACGTCTCATACATTGATAAGAAGTTTCTCAAGTATATATTTAAACCATGGGGTGCAGTTTACCGGGAAATTTGTAATCTATATATTGAGAAGTATGTTTTGGGCAGGTTTACCGCTAACCTGCTAAGCGGAAAAATTTGCGTAACCAAAAGAGCCGGCTCGACTGCATGCGTCATTCTTTCAGTCTCAGACTTTGTAACACCTGGAACTGTCTTCCATTTCAAGTTGTTTGTGCACCAACCACCGATCCATTCAAGTTACGACTGGATGAAGCATTGAACCACCTAATCATTCAGTACTCGTGAGTGAACGTCAGAATTTGCTATTCAACTGTACTATCAACCGAACCCAGTGTGTACAGACCCTATGGGATTAAATGAGCATCAGCTTTGTGATTTACCCATAATGAAAATTTGAATTTGAATTGATGTAATTCCTGGGTAAATTTCTTCTTATATATTACTCGATATGTGAGCTTCAGAAAATGGCATTCAGCGAAGTTTGCTCCGGGTATCAGTACCCAACTAAAAAAGATAACGCCGAATCACAGCATTGATGTGCATATGAGGTGCTTAAGAAAAGCCTATCCAAATAAACACACCCCAAGACAGAAGATAGGTGCACCTGGGAAGCCCTGGATTCAAGCCGCTCTTTCGTTAAAGCTCATCAGTAATGCAAAGCCATTGACTCATACGGCATATGAACTCCGGATGGCTCACAAGGAAGATATGTGCCAATTAACTCACATGGAGCCTAATCAGAGTTATATACTCAAGGTTGTCTAGATGTTGCACTAATAGTTCACTAAAAGCTTCATTTGCTTGGTACACAATGAAATTCATCACACAACTGCTCAAATGTCTTCTTCGAGGAAATTCGGTCCTTTAGACTCGACAGTAACAGGAGGCAATCAGAAATGTGTATTGAATCGATCTGAGTGATCAGTTATTAGGTAATCAGCTAACAGACTGATCACATTAACTCAAGGAGCGAGAACTTCAATCCGTTGGAAGACGTTTTCTAGTCGGTCAGTCAGATCACATTCGTCAATCACTAACTCGGCTGTAGGTTTTTGGTCTAGGGACACAACAACATAACCCGCGTAAATAAAATCTCACATTTTTTTCCAGCTGCCCAATCAACACTAATATTTTCTTGTTGGAGATAGTGAACTGAGATCAACGAAACGGAATACTCTTGATTAACATCAGCACCGGCTATGCAGAAACTGTTTAGTCCAGGCTATTCACCGGCTAAAATATTAATTTAAAAACAGCAACGCACTCCGGTAACTGCAGCTGATCAACATGCAGCATCTTGAAAGAGAATCTACTCAAGCAGACCTTAGACCAATATTTCAAAATCCAACTAGCGGAACTGTAACGGATCGGATATGATCACACTTACCATATCGTTAAAAAGCGGTTCCAATCTAGTGGAACCTCGATAGATCCACTCCCGATGTGTATCGGAGAACCGGATCAGTACGAGACTAGCATCTACCTTTTCGACGGTTGTGTGAATCCATTCGCCATCTAGTTCCGTCTCGATTGACTGGCCAGGTTTCAAACGAACCATGGGGCGCTGAAATACAAAATAAGCGCACAACCTTGAATTACGTTCCGCAATGAACAAAAAGGGAATGAAATGAGTCCGGAGGAATCTATGATAAAAGAGTTCATCATTTATGATTAGAACTCAGTGTGTCATTCTCTTTATCTGGCCCCTTACACATATCTACTTCATATGGGTCAAAGTCCGCGAATAACACATCTAGAACCGATGTAATAAAACAAAATGAAGTCATTGGCTTCCACGGTTGACAAATTGACGGTCGAAAGTAGGTGGAAAAAGCAATGCTACATGCAGGTGCTTACCTGAGGATATTGTGCTAGATAACGTTTTATAAATCCTTGAGACCCTTCAGTAGCTTCTTTCCAATTTTCCTTTGCTAAATGTGGATTAAATGAGATGCAAAGCGGGGAAATCGAAGCTTACATTGGTGACAAATACGATAGATTTCATTAGGTGGTGAATACTGTGTATAGCCATCATCAAAGAACAGTAGATATCTACAAAAAATAAACAGTATCAGACATAAAGTATAGGTGGAAACTTACCGATGGTTGTTACGTTCGCTTGGCGGTTCGGCTATTAATCCGGAGTAGTATCCAATGCCTCCATCATCATCACGATAAATGGCTAAAAGGGGTGCGTTAGAGTTTCGTGAAAAGTCAGCAGATGCACGCGAATAGGTCAATAACTTTGTGCTACAATTAACCCACTCATTACACTTGAACTGTATCACGAGCAGCTGATATCTAGGTGTAAAGACTTATAAGGGGAATGAAAGTGAACAAATTTTCTGTAGTGTTGATTCCTGATTAACTTTGGACAGTAACCTTCGAAAAGTCAAAGGAACAACATAAGTAGACTATCTTACAAAAATCTCATGTAGCGTCCAATGTTAATGAAACTAGATGGAAACTGAGGCTGATTAGAGAAGTGAAGGATTCGGTCGTTTTGATTCGAAACGTGCGACCGCCCAGAAATGATTCTTATTTTAATATTTACCTCACACTCCAATATTCAGTATAGACCCAGCTTGCAGGATTCCTCTTTTAATAATTTAGAATACGCACAGAATATACAGTCAAATAAACTTTGCACCGCAGGTCTATAAAATGGCAAATCAAGACAAACTACCCACACTTGCTCAAACAATACAGATTATTTAGCTTTTATTCGCGTTTTCCTGTATCAATTTCATTTATTCACCAAACTTGCAATTTCAAAGGGAACGAGCAGGTAAGTGTGGTGGTGGTCAAATAGTTTTAGCTGATAAAGTATTGCTAATAGGCCTTAAGAGTCTTTTGGTCCGAAGTCTTAACTCAGCCATCGCACTCAACTTAGGTTTCAGTCAGTTTAGCTGTTGTGCAAATGGTTGTTTGACAGATTGAAGTTTTATGTTGGGATTGTGAAAAGTTTCATAGCCTCGGTGGGATTCGAACGCACACATGGAAGCCGCCTACGCTTTTGTACAGCGCACGCTCTATCAGCTGAGCTACGAGGCTACATGGCCTTATTTGGATTGTCACTCAGAGTCGCCAGGGGTAAGCTACGAGGTCTCCACAACAAAATAGTAATTCTGGCATAACGTAACGTATATGAACTTCCGCAAGAAGGGATCAATTTTATGTTCTAAAGACCTACTACATAATTCCAGAGGAGTTTACCGTAATACAATAAAATTGTGCCAACTGTGCGAATCAATGAAAATAGAACAACAGAGATACGTTTTGGTATAAAAATGCTATGGCGCTTGGCAGTTGTGAAAAGATACGACTGAGTGGTTAGGTACTTACAGACTACGCGTGCACCAACAGGATATTTCTGCTTCAGTTCAGAAGCAGAGACAGCTAATGCCACGGAAGCCGGGGTGGCCCGACAGACTTCAGATTCACTACCGGGTGCGGCGTCCAGAGTCACATGATATACGGCCGACTCAGGACCTTGCGGTAAATGCGACTGATAGGAAACGGAGGAGACGTGCCCAGGAAACCATGTATCTTTTTCCTTCCGACAAAGGACCGGTTGGGATATTGCTAGAGATCTGAAAATGGACAGTGAGGATGAAGCAACAAGTAATAGACAAAATTATTTCAAAGTGTGATACTGTAAAAACAGATGGCGGAAACTTAGGTAATTTCAGTTAACCACTAGTAATTAACACAGAGCCATTGCAAAAGGATGCCGAAAGAAATGACTGTTTTGCTTTAGAACTACAAAATATGAGCTATAAAGTATTCTGAAGAAATGTTGAATGTTGAGCGTGTGGACTCCATAAGACAATAGTGCATTCAATCTGACAAATGCAACCAGCCCGTTTGGATTTCGATATACAACAAAACAACCGTGAGTGACGTACAAACCGATCAGTAATTCACACGGTTGCAGAGTGCGCCAACCATCCTTCGACGTTTGTGCCACAGAACCGTCAGCAACACGTCTAGTGGAAAGAAACAGGAAAGGAACAAAAGGTAGAAAAATGTGATGAATCAAAAACCAGTTCTCAGATCATCAAAAAACACCACGAATGGATAAGCAAAATGAGCAGATATTACTGGAAGGTTTCACGACGTCGTGCTTTCTAATTGTTAGCCTAACTGATACTTAACTTTCGACAGCGATTCCAATTTTATTCTCATTTACGAGTCAATGAAGCACTTTAATCCCGTTGCACAATAAACCCAGAGAAAACGTGAACAAAGCAGCAATCACTTCCAAAATCAATCAAAACAAACGTAAGAGCATTTAGAGTCCAATGTGACATTTTCCATCATCTGATTGCGTTTGGGACCTGCATTTTTATTTTTACTTTCTTTTACTGACTATATAACGACACAATTTTCAGGAAGGGGAAAACCGACAATAAAGGCAGCTACAAAACACATAACAGACGAAATCAGTCGGTATTGATGAGATACAAAGACACGTCATGCATGCAATATTGTTCTGCCAATTAATGAAGCACACTAGGCTGTAGAGGGACTGTATGCCCGTCCTGAACAAGGCTGTGGTGACGTAGTCCACCTTCATTGACACGTCGATCTTAACCTTTCACTTTCTGCAGGCATCATCATCATCATCGGTTAGTTTTCATATCCTTCGGAGTCTCCAAACAGTCAATTTCGTAATCTTCCGAAACCCAGCATAAAAAAACGGAAGACACCTCTTGTACCTAATCGCTTTCTGCATTTCCTCATGCGTCGTTTTAGCGTCATCTGTTGACCTCCATGTGGTTTATTCCAGTTTGGAGCCGCAACTGCGAATAAGGCGCGGTGCAGTATACGACGGCTGGGCATGCGCAATACATGTCTAGTGGAATCGACCAATCTAAATTTGATAAGACAATGAATTTTCCATCGAATCATTACCA